GACGCCAGCGGGCGGCGGCAGGGGGGGCTCGCATGCGGCTCCCGACCCGAGCGCGGGTTGGCCGAGTCGGGCGGCGACTCGGCCATTTCCCGCGCGGGCGGCGGCGGCGGCCGCCGGGGCGCCGGCAGCGGCCCACGCGCGCGGCGGCGCGGGGCGCTCCCGCCCGAGCGCGGGTTGGCCGAGTTGGCCGGCGACTCGGCCACGTCCCGCGCGGACGGCAGCGGCGGCCGCCGGGGCGCCGGCAGCGGCCCCCGCAGGCGCGCGGCGCGCGGGCCCGAGCGCGGGTGCGGCGGTGTCGGCGCGGACACGCCGGTCCGAAGGGAGGGAGGGAGGGAGGGAGGGAGGGGGGAGGGAGGGTGGGAGGGGAGGGAGGGAGGGCGGGAGGGAGGGAGGGAGGGAGGGAGGAGTGGGAGGGAGGGGAGGGAGGGAGGGGGAGGAGGAGGAGGAGGGAGGAGGAGGTAGGAGGAGGAGGAGGAGGAGAGGAGGAGGTGGAGGAGGAGGAGGGGAGGAGGAGGAGGGGAAGAGGAGGAGTGGAGGAGGAGGAGGAGGAGGAGGAGGCGGAGGAGGAGGAGGAGGAGGATGGAGGGGGAGGAGGAGGAGGAGGAGGAGGAGGAGGAGGAGGAGGAGGAGGAGGAGGAGGAGGAGGAGGAGGAGGAGGAGGAAGAAGAATAATAAGAATAAGAATAAGAAGAAGAAGAAGAAGAAGAATAATAAGAATAATAATAATAATACTAATAATAATAATAACACTAACAATACTAATAAGAAGAAGAAGAATAATACGAATAATAATAAGAAGAAGAATAATAAGAAGAATAAGACTAATAATAATACTAATAATAATAAGAAGAAGAAGAAGAATAAGAAGAATAATAAGAAGAAGAAGAATAATAAGAATAATAATAATACGAAGAAGAATAAATAATAAGAAGAAGAATAATACGAAGAATGAATAACACTATCAATAAGATGAATAAGAATAATAAGAATAATCATAAGACGAATAATAAGAATAATAACAAGAAGAATAATAATAAGAAGAATACTATGAAGAAGAAGAAGAAGAATACGAAGAATAATAAGAAGAAGAAGACGAATAAGAATAATCAGAAGAAGAAGAAGAATACTAAGAATAAGAATAATAATAAGAAGAAGAATAATAATACGAATAAGAAGAATAAGAAGAAGAGGAGGAGGAGGTGGAGGAGGAGGAGGAGGAGAAGGAGGAGGGGGAAACGAGGGGGGGGGAAGAGGGGGCGGGGGGCTGAAGGGAGGAAGGGATGAGAGGAGGTAGGCGGAGGTGGAGTAGGAGGAGGTTGGAGGAGGGAGAGGAGGAGAAGGAGGAGGTATGGAGGAGGAGAGGAGGAGGAGGAAAAGGGGGGAGGAGGAGGAGGCGGAGGAGGAGGAGGAGGAGGTGGAGGGGAGGAGGAGGGAGGAGGAGGAGGAGGAGGAGGAGGAGGAGGAGGGGGAGGGATGGGAGGGAGGGAGGGAGGGGGAGGGAGGGAGGGCGGGAGGGAGGGAGGGAGGAGGGAGGGTGGGAGGGAGGGAGGGAGGGGGAGGGAGGAGGTGGGAGGGAGGGAGGGGAGGGAGGGAGGGGAGGGAGGGAGGGGAGGAGGGAGGGAGGGAGGGAGGAGGGAGGGAGGAGGAGGAGGAGGGCGGAGGAGAAGGAGGAGGCGGAGGGAGGGGGGGAGGGAGGGAGGGGAGGAGGAGGGAGGGAGGGAGGGGGCGAGGGAGGGGGGGAGGAGGGTACGGCCGACCAGCATCACTTCCCAGCCACCCCCCCCCGCCCCCTTCGGATGCACCCCCAAGCGGCGAGTCCCCAGCTTCTGTTTTCCTGCTGCTTATGCTTCGGCTTTGCGACGCCCCCGAATGACGTTCAACGTATTGGATTGTAGACTCCCAGGATGAACAGAAATAGCAACCATTCTGAGAAGGCGGGGATTTTTTTTTAAAAAATTTGAGGGGGAGGCAGAATTTTTAAAAATTGTGAAAAATTTAAAAATCTTGCTATTTTGCCTGATCCCTGATTTCCCAGATCCTGGGCCCAAGTTGCGATCCGAGGGCCCAGGGCCCAGGCAAAATAGCAAAATTTTTAAAATTTTTAAAAATGTTAAAAATTTTGCTATTTTGCCTGATCCCTGATTTCCCAGATCCTAGGCCCAAGTTGCGATCCGCTGGCCCAGGGCCCAGGCAAAATAGCATTTTTTTTAAAAAAAAAAACATTTAAAAGTTTTAAGAATTTTGCTATTTTGCCTGATCCCTGATTTCCCAAATCCTGGGCCCAAGTTGCGATCCGAGGGCCCAGGGCCCAGGCAAAATAGCAAGATTTTTAGAATTTTTAAAAAATTTCAAAATTTTGTTATTTTGCCATCTGGTTTCGCATGGGTTCCTTGATGTCCATGCGTTGCCAGGCGAGGTGGCCCCAGCGTGGCTCGGACGCGCGCGCGGGGAGTTTCTGCCGCGATGCGACTAGAAAGCTTGCAAGGTGTTGTGCGTGCGAGGTGGGCCCAGCGGGGCTCGGACGCGCGCGCGGGGAGTTTCTGCCGCGATGCGACTAAAAAGCTTGCAAGGTGTTGTGCGTATTTAGAGATTCCCACTGTGCTTCTAGTACAGTATATATCATATCTAGCATATAGTATATGTATATATGTATATATATATGAATATATATATATATAATCATATATACATATATAATTATACATAAATACTGAACGATAATTAACACTATAGATAATACAATTTATATGTGTGAATAAATGAACGCAGACGCGCGTGCGTCGGAGGATGCATATGTGGATAAGGAGAATTTGTTTGCTTAACGAAGAGGAGGATGAGGAGGGGGAGGAGGTGGAGAGCGAATGCCGATGAGTCGAGGATGCCGAGGAGGTTTTGTTTGCTTTTAGCCGAGGGCGCGGCTCGGAACACTGGAACTGCATGCCCGTGCGCCCCAGGCGGGGCTCGCGTAGTCAATCTACTTGCTTCGCGGATCATCGTTCCATGCGTACCAGATCAAAATGATATTGGATCGGTTCCACGCCTCGTACTTCTCACGTGTCCCACGACCGCGCGTCACGCCGTCCTGCGCTGGGCCAGGGATGGTGCCGCTGGCGCTTGCGGCGCTGGCGAAGCATCAGCCCGCGGGCCTTGCAGCGGCGGGGGCGGCCGACGTGGAGCAGGCCCAAGACGCCGACGACGAGGCCACCGACGACGAGGCGCCTCGTGAGAGCGCAGCCAAACGGCCTCGTAAGGGCTCCAAGTTCGACCAGGAGCTGAACGCCATGGCCGTCAAAGCTTCCGTGCCTGCTGCTCAGCACGCGCAGGCTGTGGTCGCTTGTGAAGTCATGTTTCGGGTGCTCGCCATTAGCAGTTTCGTTATTCAGGTGGCCGATGCCCTTCCGAGGCGCCGCGGGCCACCACGGGTCAGCAACAGGACGGCCGCAGGGCCACCGCGGGACACCGGCGGGGCAACCCGGGACAACCACGCGGCAACGATTGGAAATTGCAGGGCGGGACCTCCACGGGGAGGCGCGGCGGAAAGTGGCGAGCCATTTGTGCAAGGTCGACCTCGCCAGTCTCCTGAGCTACGATCTCGTGGAATACGGCATATGCGAACACCGTCGGCTGCTCACTAAGAGGCGCAAGCGCCGGGGAAAGAAGACCCTTCCAGACTCACACTTCTACCGCACCCACGTCGACGGAATCCGCAAGGCGCGGGCCCAGATGGTCAAGGCACTTAAGCAGAAATACAAGTACAGGTGATCGTCGCGCGCAGCTGCTCTGTCCGGTTTCACCCAGAAAAAAGCATTGGGGCGAGGAGGGGCGGAGGAGGGGGGGCGCGGGGAAAAATACAGATCACAGTAAACATATACTCCGACTACATACATACACATATTCACACACACATATATATATTAATACATATATATATATATGTATATATATATATATACATATTCATATCTATAGTGTTGTATATACGTATAGGTGTGTATACGTATATATAAGTATGTTGGGTTTGTACATATTCCTACATGTAAGAATACGCATATATTACCATCGACAGTATCGTATGCCTGCGTGTTATTTGGCAAGGCATGCGTTCAGGTGGTCCTACTTGGCCCAATAAGGAATTGTATTGGCGTGCCGAAGATTTGCCACGTTGCCGCCAGCTTCGCCTCGTTGCCGCGTGCTTACCGATATCAACCAATCAACGATTGCACTTCTGTATTATTACTTGGCTTTCTCTGGAACTGGGTGGGCGTGCCGGGGATTCACCGCGTTGCCGCCCGCGCCGCCCCGCTGCCGCGTCGCACCAGCCTCGCGCGCTGGGCGGGCGGGCCGACTTCGATGAGGACGAGGGGGAGGATGGTGGAGGTGGAGGAGGAGGAGGAGGGGGATGGGGTAGAGGAGGATGGGCAGGAGGAGGAGGACGAGGAGGAGGAGGAGGAGGAGGAGGAGGAAAAGGAGGAGGAGGAGGAGGAGGAGGACGTGGAGGAGGCAGGGGAAGAGGAATATAATAATGAATATGAGTAAACGGAGAGATGTGATTGCTCGGGAGCTGCAGAAGGCTCCTGCGTTTTTTGTTGTGCTTCTTGGGCCGTATGATGGGTGTCTTGGGGGGCATGGGGTGTCTTGGGAGCCTTTCTGTGGAGGGCGTTCCTGACCGTTTGAGGGGTTCCTAGGGCTTCCTGGGACCTCCTGGAGCCTCCTGGGGCATACTGAGGCCTTCTGGGGCCCCCTGGAGCCTCCAGGGACCTCCTTCTCGGGCCTCCTGGGGCCTCCTGGGGCCTCCTGGAGCCTCCTGGGGCGTCCTGGGGCGTCCTGGTGCTTCCTGGAGCCTCCTGGGACCTCCTGGGAATTCACGGGGCCTCCTGGAGCCTCCTGGGACCTCCTGGGAATTCACGGGGCATCCTGGAGCCTCCTGGGGCCTCCTGGGGCCTCCTGGGGGGCCGTCCGAGCGGAGGGTGGGGGTGGGGGCGGGGGGGGCGGCTGGGAAGTGATGCTGGTCGTCGCGACGGGGGGGAGGGGGAGGAGGGAGGAGGATGGGGAGGAGGAGGGAGGAAAAGGGGTGGAGGGAGGAGGGAGCTGGGAGGTGAGAGGAGAAAAAGAGATAGGGCAGGAGGGAGGATGGAGGAGGGAGGAGGGGAGGAGGGGAGAGAGAGAGAGGGGAGAGGGAGGAGGGAGGATGTGGACGGCGGAGGAGGAAGGAGGAGGAGGAGGAGGAGAGGAGGAGGAGGAGGGGCGGAGGAGGAGCGGAGCAGAGGCGGAGGCGGAGGCGGAGGCGGAGGCGGAGGCGGAGGCGGAGGCGGAGGGCGGGGCGGAGGCGGAGGCGGAGGAGGAGGAGGAGGAGGCGGAGGCGGAGGAGGAGGAGGAGGCAGGGAGGAGGCGGAGGGAGGAGAGAGAGGGGGAGTGAGGAGGAGGAGGAGGGTGGGACGGAGGAGGAGGAGGAGGAGGCGGAGGAGGAGGAGGAGGAAGGAGGGGGAGGAGGAGGAGGAGAGGAGGAGGAGGATGGTGAGGTGAGGGCGAGAGGACGAGGAGGAGGAGGAGGAGGAGGAGGAGGAGGAGATGAGGCGGAGGCAGAGGCCGGAGGCGAGGCGGAGGCGGAGGCGAGGCGGAGGCGGAGGCGGAGGGCGGAGCGGAAGGCGGAGGCTGGAGGCGGAGGCGGAGGGCGGCAGGAGGAGGAGGAGGAGGAGGCGGCGAGGAGGAGGAGAGGAGGGAGGAGGGGGGAGGAGAAGAGGGGGAGAGGATGAGGACGAGGAGCGAAGGGAGGGAGAAGGGAGGGGAGGGGAATGGAGGGGAGGGGAGGGGAGGGATGGGAGCGAGGCCCTGCGGCCGAGCTCGCTGGATCGACTGTGCGCCGACGGGGAGCCGTTTGCAGTTCTCGCCGTTCCTCCTTTCCTTCGGTCCCCAGGGGCAGTGCACCTGCCCACACCGTCAAGTTCGGCTCTCTCCGGCCTAGGCCGAGACCCTTGGCCGAGCAAAGTGGGAGGAGGAGGAGGAGGAGGAGGAGGAGGAGGAGGAGGAGGAGAAGGAGGAGAGGGAGGAGACGGAGTCGATCTTGGCCAAACGAGCTGGTGTGAGTTGGGGTCAGGAGCCGCGAGTGGCGAGAGAGGCCGAAGGGCCTGCTTCAGCATTCTGGAGTTATCAATTGGCGGCCACCCAAATGGGGAAGTGAGACGGAGAGTACCCTCTCGGAAGGCGACTGTACTTCTCAAAAACTTTCGCGCGTTCTCAGAAGTGTTCCGTGTCTTCGGGGAGGGCTTAAAAACACTCCTCAGAAGGCCGTTGGACTTCCGAGCCTTCTGAGAAGGCCCGGTCCTTCTCACTTCCCCCCCAGGCTCGCCGCCGCAACCAGTGCTCTAAAATTCAGAGCGCCAAGCGTCTAGATGAATCGCAGGAGGCGGCGGATCGAAGACAAGACGCCCGCGTCGAACCACCGCCGCCCCCTGCCTTGTGAAAACGCCCATGTGGCCCTCAAAAGCGGCCAGAGTTCGGCTAATCCCTCAGCCGTTGTGGAAACCCTTGGGGGACCACGTGGGGAAGATCGGAGCTCCAGAAGTGAGCCAACACCCCAAATCCATCAAACACCAACTTTTGTTTGGCGCGAGCGCCCTCCGGCTCGAGGGGGAAGGGGCGGCGGCGCCAGCGTGTGGCTCCGCCGCCCAACCTGGCAGGCTCCATACCCCACAGGCGCGATGAGCGCCTCCAGCGTCGCAGCCCCGCGGGAGCAGTCGCCGCTGCTGCCGAGGAAGGATGGCGGCGAGGTGGCGAACGCGGCGAAGCTCGTCGTCTGCGTCGGCAGCATCTTCATGTGCGGATGCGTCGGGAGTACCCTCATCGTCTTCACCGGTGACAAGATCGCGAAGGACCCCGCTGGTTTCTCGGAGTCGCAGGTGTCCTACTGCCAGATGCTGTTCTGGGTGGGCTGGGCCACGGCGTCGGCCACGCTGATGCCCTCGGTCGACCGCCTGGGCCGCAAGGTGCCCTGCTACAGTCTCCTCGGCATCGCCGTGCTCGCTGGCATCATCAGCACGCGTACCCAGCAGGTGTGGCTCTACGGCGCCATGCTCTTCGTGGTAGGCTTCACGCTGCCTCCCTCTGGCCAGATCGGCTACCTGCTCATGCAGGAGTCGGTGCCGGAGCACCTGCGGGCCACCACCACGGTCGCGGTCAACGTCGGCTTCAGCCTGGTCCTCATCCAGATGGCGCTCCAGTGCGGCTATGTTACCCGCGCGTGGAGCTGGCGCCTCGAGACCATGGCCTGGTACGCTCCGATGCTGCTGATCTGCTTGGTGGGACCGCTGTTTGTCAGCGAGTCCCCAGTCTTCGCTGCGCCAGGGCCAGGGAGCCCGTCGAGGCGCCCGGCGACGGCCGAGGCCGCGGGGTCGGCCGAGGCGTCGGGGTCGCAGCAGCTGTTCGGCGCTGGGATGCGGGCAACCATGTTTTACACCTGCATCTGCTGGACCTCAGCGTCGGTCAGCTTCTACGGGCTGTCGTACTCGGCGGGAAGCCTTTCCCCTAACGTGTACATGAACGTAATCCTGTTCGCCCTCACGGATATCGTAGGCTACGCCATCCCGGCCCCCATAGTGGGCGCGATGGGCTCCAAGTACGCGCAGATTGCCGGCTTCGCTGGGACCGCGGTGTCGCTGCTCCTGTGCGCCATGCTGCCGCAGGGCTCGTGGATGGCCGTAGCGTGCGCGCTGGTCGGCCGCCTCCACATCGACGTCGCTTTCAGCACGGTCTTCCTCCTCATCGTGGACTGCTTCCCGTCCAGCTGCCGCGCGGCCGCCCTCGGGGTGGCCAACGTGTCCTCGAGGTCGCTCACCTTCGCGGCCCCGCTGTGCGCGAAGGCGCCAGCGTACCTGTCGTGCAGCGTTCTCTCCGCGCTGTGCTTCGCCGCGGTGGGGGCCACGTGGGCGCTGGACGTGCAGCCGGGCGACAGGCCCGAGGTGCCAGCCTCGGCCGCGAAGGCGGCGGCCGAGCCCGCGCAGGCGGGGAGGGCCTCCGGGGCGGCGGCGGCGGCGTCGGTCTGAGCGCCCCCCGTCGAGGGAGGGGTGCAGCGGTCTCTCGCCGCGGCGTGGCGACGACGAGGTGGAGGAGGAGGAGGAGGAACCGTGGGGGGAGGAGGAGGAGGAGGAGGAGGAGCAATACGGCCCTGTCTCCAGCTCGCCCTGCCGAGACTCGCAGTCCGCAGAGGTTCGAGCAAAAGCAAACGAGTCCATCGAACACCAAGATCGAACAGACATGATGTTGGTCCCCTCGGGCCTTCCTGGAGGTCCTCCTGGAGGCCTTCTGGGACGTGTTGGAGGCCTCTTGGGCTATCCTGCGGCCATCTTGGGTTATCTTTCTTGGGGGCATCTCGGCCCATCCTGGAGGCATCAAGGAGCCTTCTTGAGCTTTCTTGGGGGCCACTGTGGCCCTCTTGGAGACCATCTCGTCCGCCGTCTTGGATGCCATCCTGGGGCCGTCGGGAACGGGAAGGCCGCCGATGACCTGGGAAGCTTGCGGGTCTTTACGGGGCGAGGACATCGGCGAGTCACTTCTTGCAGGAGGGAAAAGAACACACAGGCACAATGAATCGTCGATTCCCAGGAAAATATAGGAAACCAGGGGAGGTGGGGGGGAAGACAAACACATAGAAAGTATGGGAAAATATTGGGAATCCTGTTATTTGTGTGTCCCAGGGCCCCTTCACTCTTACGCGCACTTCCGAGTGGCCCGCGCGACGGGTCGAAGGCCAATTGGGAACCTGTTCAAACAGGAGCAACCACTACCCAACGTCTGACGCGCCGTACACCCCTGTGGCCTCGGGACCATTCCGCCAGGCCGCAATTTTTTTCGTATTCGCTGTTTTGCCGATCGGCGCGGGCCCTCGCACCCCACCTCCCCCCCGCCTGGAGTCGATTTTGGTTGTTTGTGGCGCCTGTTTCGAGCAGGTGGAGTCTCCCCCAGACGACGCACTGTTCAAACCGTCGCATTAAGCAGAGGTCCCGAGCCCACCCCCCTAAGGTCAATGTCGAATCACCGAATCAGAAACCGCTGACCAGCGTGTTTAAATCTTGGACCAGAAGCCTCTTGGTGGCTACTTGGGGTTCCTCGTGGGTCCTCTTGGGCGTCTCCTGACGTCGCTCGGGGAGCCCTTCCAGGCTTCGGGGGACCTCCGCGGGGCCCCTTGGGAGCCCGTTTGGGGTCCAGGATTAAGCCGGGCACGTCCCTCTATAGGAGGAATGTTCACACGTAGTCGAACAAATCAATGGTTACAGAGTGGTTTTGATTCCCCAATCAGAGCTTGCCTCTGTAGGGGTCCTAGCGGATTCATATGGTTAGGTTAGGTTTGCCGCCGATTTTCGTTGCACGCCCGGGTGCCCGGGGGTGCCCGGGCGTGCCCGGGCGTTCCCGGGGGTGCACGGGGGTGCCCGGGTGCCCGGGGGTGCCCTATAGCCCAATAACCCTATAGCCCTACAACTCTATAGCCCTATAGCTCTATAGCCCTATAGCTCAATAGCCCTATAGCCATATAGTATAGCCCCCTAGCCCTATAGCCCTGATTGGGGTTTTCTCTGGTATCATTATTTGTAATGTTTGTTCCAAGATGGTCCGTTCGAGTTTCCGTAGCCATTTTGGCTCAAGCACCCCCGCCCTGGCTCGAGAGCGCGCAGCCCGGGCTCCATGCCGCCCCCGCGCGCGAGCGCCGCGGGGGGCCAGGGCCGGCGGCCCGCCCGCGGCCGCGTGCGAGGGCGAGGGCGGCGACGGGGCCCGGCGGCCCTGGCCCGGCCACGAGCCCCTGGAGGGCGCGGGCGCGGAGGGCGCCGCGGACTTCGAGAGCCTCCTGCGGCTGCTGCGGCAGGAGTGCGTCAGGCTATGCCGCGAGAACGCCACGCTGCGGGTGAGGGCCGCGCGTTCCGAACAGGACGTGGACGGCGCCGCGGACGCCGTGGACGGCTCCCCGCGCGGCACGGACGGCTTCGGGGGCCGGGAGCCCCCCCCCCTGAAGCTCGGGGCCGGTTGCCAGGAGGCCAGCGTCGCTGAGGAGGTGCAGTCGGCGAGGGCGTCGGTGACCTCCAGCGCTGTCTCCAGGGAGATTTCCCAGAGGTTCGGCGGCAGCAAGACGCTGAAGGAACACTTCGGCATGGACACGGGGACGTCCGAGTCCAACAGGAAGATCACCGCGGAGCTCATGCAGAAACACCTGGAGAAGCGGTCACCCAAGATGACCTACTTTGGATTCAGGGGCGCGAAACAGTTGAAGGCAAAGTTGAAGTGGGTTCGCAACCACAACTTCGATTACGCCATGGCGTCTGTGATTCTTCTCAACGCGGTCTATATGGGAACCCAGACCTAGATGGTCATGCGCAGCACCCGGGATGACCCGAATAGCGCGGAGAGTGCCAAGAGGAGTTGGTTGATTGGAGATGTGGCGTTCGCACTGATCTTCGTCAGTGAGCTCATAACCCGGGTTTTCGCATACCAGGTGAAATTTTACCGTGGGAGTCAGAGGTGGTGGAATTTGTTCGATTGCGTCACAATTACTGCGACGGTGGTGGCCACCTTTCTTGATGCGATTGGTACCGCGCCGAGCTTTTACATCAACCTCTTCAGGGTTTTGCGACTTGCTCGCCTAGCACGAAGTTTGAAAGTGTCGAAATCACGGTTATTTCACAACCTGAAGGTGCTCAGCTATACCGTGGCTGGAAGTGCTAACGCGTTCATGTCCGCCATCACACTCTTGTTCGTAGTCATGTACGTGTTTGGCTTAATGTTCATGCAGGGCTTGCAGTCGTATATTGTTAGAGACAACGCCGATCCACTGGTAGTTCTTCAACTGGAGGCTTTTTTGGGATCCCCAGCAGACACCTTATTCACTCTGCTGAACGTTATCACTGGTGGAGATTGGGAAGACGTGGCCATTACGTTGAGGGACATCGAATCCTCTTACCAGTGGTTCATCTTAGCGTACATTACGTTCACTGTTCTTTGTATCTTGAACATTCTCAGCGGAGTTTTCGTTACCGTTGCCATCGAATCCGCCCAGACGAACAAGGAGTTGGCTATCCAGAGTACCCAATACAAGACTAGGGCTCTCATAGAACAGATGGTGGAATGGTTCATCGAGGCAGACAAAGACATGTCAAGCAAGGTCTCTTATGAGGAGCTGCACGATCTCATGCGAGACGACAAAGTGCGGGCTTTTCTGCGGGCCAACGGCATTGATGTCGCGAGCACTGCCCAGGTTTTCTTTCTTTTGGACCGGGACGGTACTGGGGAGATCGAGCCTGAAGAATTTGTTGACAATATGATCCTGCTGCAGGGTGGCGCGAAGGCTCTTGATTTAGCATCATTGCGCGTGGTCTGCGATGACTTGACTCAGAAGTTTGATGATCTGGATGACATGATGCGTAGACATATCGTTGGCCTGGGCCCACCTGCTACTCCGTCTCGCCGTCAAGCAAAGATTCCTGGCGGGCTCGGGTGTGGACTTCGGCTTGGATGGGATGGGCCAGAAGGCGACCCAACTTCGTCAAGACCAAACAGTTTTGGGCAGCCGATGTCTGTAAGCAGTATGTTCTATCGCCAGGTGACCAGGTGAAAGTCAGTTGAGCTGCAGCGGCTTGCGCGCCCCGGTTCGGCCTCCCCGAGGCCTCCGAAAGTCGTGCACCAGAGGTCACGCTTGCCCATGGTCGCCATTACGTGTAACCGAAAAATAATTATTTAAATCCTTTGTCGCGGCACAGCCGTTGCCGCCTCCCCCTGGCAGTGGCAAGACCGTGCGCACGTAGCCCGCCCTGCTGCTGCCAGACGCCAGGCTCGAGCGGCTTGGTGCGCCCAGGATTCCTGCAAAGGTAGATCGTTGGTTGGACGATCGTCGAAATTGCGCTCGTTATACTTCGATCTAGAAGATCACAGACGCCTGGCCACTTAGCACTTGGCACTCTCGCGCGTCTCAACGTGCCCGGTGGCGGATACGAGGCCGCTTGGCCCCCAGCACCCCCGCGTTCGGGGCCACAACCCCAGCCGGCGACACTGGCGACTGGGCGCTCGAGCCTGGCGACCTCTCGTCGCTCGCCCCCTTCCCCCGCCCTACCCTACCCCCCCGTCCCGCCCCGTCCGTGCGAATGCTTCTTGTGATCCTGTGCTCTGAGCGCACACCGAATCCGCCGTCTCCATGCCACAACACGGCGCAGCGACGGTGGTTCAGCCGATAACGTAGACACTTTTATTTGGTCTCGCGTTCCAGTTCGGTAGGTAGGGTCCTCTCTGCCGCGGAGGGCGACGCACTGCTGTGCCTGAGTGGCTGAATTCGCATGTGCGTGGGTCAGCCTAGCAGGCTGGACATGTGTTTCGCTTGACTGGAATCCTGCCTAACAGGCTGGATCTGCTTTCGCTTGCACGGCATCCTTCACACAGGGCGGAACATGCCAAGGACAAGAAAAAAAGATGGTCCGTTCGAGTTTCCCCTTCTGCGCCCGCACTGGGGCCATCTTGTAGGTCTCGAGGTCTTTCGGACGCCTCTTGGGCCTCTTGGGGCCTCTTGAAGTAGTTCTGTTCGGAACATCATGGGCTGCCTAAGAAGCTCTTGACACCGACACGGCAGCGACTTCAAGCTTTTGAAGCCTTGAGCCGACCCCCAGGGCCTGCTGAGGCGGCGCAAGAGAACCGCAAGCGGCTCCGAGTTGCGGCGCGAGGTGCGGCGTCACGAGCCCGGTGGAGCGCCTTGGAGCGTGCAGAAGTTGAGGCTTCTGATCCGTCAAGGGGGAAATTGAGGCACGAAGCCTCAATAGACAGGGCCGCAGCACACCGGGGGCACCCAGGGTTGACTGAGTGCCTCCGTCCCCCCTCGAGCCTCCCCGGGGCGTCCCTGCCTCCCCAGATCGCGTATGGCCAGGACCCCAGGTAAGGGGACCCGGTTAATGATAGGGCCCCGGGGCTCTTGAATTGGTCAGAATCACTAAACCAGATCTGCCGTAGCTGCTGTTTTTCGGGTGACGGCAGTTCCGGTTAGTGGAAATGGGACGGGGGGGGCGCCCCCGGTACAGATACACTAAACCAGGTTCCACTAAACCCAGTTCAGCCAACGCCCGACCAGAGCCTTTCCCGAAGCCCCGGGACCCTCGGTAGGAATTCTGGACGTCGCAGATGGCTCCCAGACTTCTACAAGAAGGCCCAAGATGGCCCCCCAGACGGTCCGTAGCCATTTTGGCTCAAGCCATTTGGCTCAAGCCAGCTAGTTGCTTCCGACATACCTGCTGCCGACTAGTCCCCTGCCGCGTCATGATGCCGGGCCGCCCGAGCCCCCGCACCTGCGCCGACGACTGTTCCATGACCGCGAGAGTCACGTGCAAGGACACGACCTGGGGCATGCTGTTCGCTGACCTGCATGGGCTGCGGCGCCCGGCCGCCGCAGAGGACCCGCGGTGCGCCCCACGGGGCGGAGCGGCGCCGCCCCGCACGGCGACCCGCGTCGGGACCGCCACCGGCGACGACGCCGGCGAGCCGCAGGTCGAGGTGTTCCTGCCGGCCCCTGCGCTGTGGCGCGGCCGTTTTCGCGCCGCCGACGCGGCGCCGCCCCGCACGGCGATCCGCGTCGGGACCGCCACCGACGACGCCGGCGAGCCGCAGGCCGAGGTGCTGCCGGCCCCTGCGCTGTGGCGCGGCCGTTTTCGCGCCGCCGGCGCGTGGCCGGAGCGGGCCGCGCCCGGCCGCGGGGCCGGGGCGGCGGCCCCGCGGCGGCCGCCAGGGATGCGCGTCCCCCCGGCGCGCGCCGGGGGCGGCGCCTTCGAGTGATGCCGAGGCACCGCTGCTCGGGGCAGGTCGACCATGCTGGCCTCGGCGACTCTGTGCGTGCTGCCGCAGCACCGATGCCGCGGTACCGTGCCAAGCTCGTGGGGAGTCGGTCGCTGCTCCTCCGCGTCCCTCTTCCCCTTCCAGCATGCCGATCCTCCTCCCTGCTTCCTCCCACTCCCCGCGCGCAACTTTTTTCGTAATTAATTTCGAAGTGCGGAACAACCGGAGCTCTTCGGTAGACCATTCGCGCCAAGGCGTGCTGGGCTGCCTTCACGACCTGGTACAGGTGACGCGTGACACCGTTCCTCTTCCTCCTCCTCCTCCTCCTCCTCCTCCTCCTTCTCCTCCTCCTCCTCCTCCTCTCCCTCCTGCTCCCCGCGACACGAAGAAGCTGGCAGTGGGGACGCGAGGCGTCCATTAACGGAGGTTCGGGGCTATCCTTGCAAAGTCCTATTGTTTCGGCGATGTAAGTGCCCAGCGCTCAACCGTGGACGGCGACTCAGCTCTTGCGCGGAAGTTCGTGGCAAGCGTATCAGCATAGGTGCATGAGTTGCTTTATATGTTTCGATTGTACATATCTGCACGTTTGCTCTCGGTGACCCGCTGGTCTCTTGCGCCGAAGCTCGCGGATTGGCGTCCCAGCAGGCTCCTGCCAGATCTCCCATCTACATCGGTGGTTGACAGACGCCACGTTGCCAAGTCGATCAGCAAGCTCTGGTCGTGAGACCCCTGGTGGTTTCTCGAGAGCGCGAGACAGCTGCCAGGTTTAAGGCTGTGTTTTAATGTGGGTTCTGTCTCCACCCTGCGGACCCTCGGACTTCCTGTACAGGCAGGAGCTCGGCACTGCTCTGCCCCTGTGCAATGGCAGTTGCGCAAGTCGGGCGTCATGCGAGGCGGTTGGCTCCTCGCATTGTCGCTGCTGGTCCCCTTTTCATCCATCTGCGTAGCCTGGCCCACTGGCCCACTCCACCGTGGCCCCTTGGTTCAGACGAAGCAGATCTTGACCTCCCCTGGGCTCGTCCATCGCCCTAGGGCCTGGGGCGGAGACCCCAAGTTTTGAGACTCGGGTGGAGGACTGCCTCGCCTGCGTTTGATTATTGAACGAGTGTGGCATGCTCCGTGTGTGTGTGTGCGAAAAAAAAAAAAGATGGCCCCCCAGACGGTCCAAGAGGCCCCCAAGACGCCTCAAGTCGGCTGCCAGTCGAGTGCCCCAAAGTGGCAAAAATCGTCCCATTCCCATTGGTCGTAGGTTGGGGGGTGAGATCGAAGTGGAACGGAGAACCCCCCTACCGGGAAATCGATTTCGGTTTCGTGTTCGTGCGTGCCGTGCGTGCGGGCAAGGCGAAGCTGCGTGGGCGAGCGAGAGGAAAGACTTCTGTGGCTGAGGCGCGGCCGGACCAACTGTTTGGCGACCTGGCGTTCGGGGCCGCGCGGTGTCCCGCCGGTGTCCCGTCGGTGTCCCGTCGGTGTCCTGCGGTGTCCCGTCGGTGTCCCGTCGTGAGATCGATAGTGAGACCAATCGTGAGATCGATCGTGAGATCGATAAAGAGATCGATAGTGAGATCGATAGTGAGATCGATAGATATCGGTTGTGAGATCGATCGTGAGATCGATAGTGAGATCGATAGTGATATCGACTGTGAGATAGATCGAGTGAGATCGATCGAGTGAGATCGATAGTGAAATCGATAGTCCGTCGGACCGCAGCCCATCGCGGTTCTGCATTCGGAGAGTCCGTTCGAACCTTCGGCTGGTCAGGGCCGTTACGGGCAGGTTCCCGGGGGAAGGGGATGGTACCAAGGCGCCCAACAGCGAAGGGTGACGTAAACAACTCGACACCAAAGCTCCCAAGAGCGAGCGGCAACGCAACAGTCTCCACGGGCATCGTCAGAACAGCAATCACCACTGTTGCCCATTGCTGGGCCCCTCCCCCCCAACCTCCTTATCACCCGCAGGGTGGTCGCATAGGTCAGCGTATATGTTTGGCACATTCGTTTTTGTGGTCCCACCAGCGTCCCAGGCAGCTCCAAAGGCCCCCAAGAGCGCCCGAAGGCCGCCGACGAGGCCCCCACGGGGGCTCCAAGAAAGCCAAGATGGCCCCAAGACGACCCGAGGGGCGCCCAAGGCGGCCCACAAGTGGCTCACGATGGCCCCAAGGGCGCAAACGAGGCCCCCGAAGCGCCCCCCGAGCGGCCTTCCGATCGCCCTCGGCGTCATGGTGGCCCCCGCAGTATCCCGGCGGTCCCCCAAAGACCCCCCCGTAGTCTTCCAAGAAGCCTGGAAGAAGCCCCCCAGGAGGCCCCCCCAAAGACGCCCACGTGTCCTCACGAGTGCCCCGAGCGGCCCCCGTAAAGGCTACAATGTTCTTCTTGTGCGCCTCGTATCGAAAGACACCTCGATTCCAAAAGGTAACACACACACACTCCCCCCCACTCCTCCTCATCTTCTTTCTCCTCCTTCTTCTCCTCCTTTTCCTCCTCCTCCTCCTCCTCCTCCTCATGCCACTCTTCTCCTGACCTCCTCTTCCTCCTCCTTCTCCTCCTCCTCCTCCTCCTCCTCCACCTCCTCCTCATCCTTTTTTTCTTCTCATCATTTGGCCTCCCATCCCTCAACATTATTTAATCGCTTCGCTCATGCCGCCGGCCCTGGAGCCCTCTTTAGGGCCTCTTGGGGGCCTCTTGGGGACCTCTTGGGAGTCTCTTGGGGCTCCTTGGCGGCGTTTTGGAGGCCCCCAGGGCCTCTTGGGGGGCTCTTGGGGGTAGTCGATTGCGGCTCCCCCCTCGGAGGCCACGATCCTCGTGAGGGGTGTCGAAAAATACCCTCCCCTGGAGTGGTCTGGTGGCTTCTCCCGGGCTTCTCTCGGGACCTTGCCGGGGTACTTTTCGTCCGGGGGCCCCCAGGGGCCGCTCCGCGCGCGCGAACTTTTCCTCCTCCTCCTCCTCCTCCTCCTCCTCCTCCTCCTAATGCCACTCTTCTCCTGACCTCCTCTTCCTCCTCCTTCCCCTCCTCCTCCTCCTCCTCCTCCTCCTCCTCCACCTCCTCCTCCTCCTCATCCTTTTTTTCTTCTCATCATTTGGCCTCCCATCCCTCAACATCATTTTCTCTCTCAGTTCGCATCCTCTCTCTTTCATGCACTCTCCTCCTTCATGTCCACCTTTCCTGCGCCCTCTCCCTCTTCCAATCCTATTCCATACCCCGCGTGTGTAGCTCCTTCTTCCGTGCCCCTCCTCTGGCTCAAACCACTGGCCCAAGCCCTCTGGCTTAAACCGCTCTGGCTCAAGGAGGCTTGCGCAGCCTGGCCAGCGGTCGCTCTGGCGGGCCTCGCCATGGAGACCGCGGCGGCGCGGCGGCGGCGTCAGCGGGCGGCCTTTCGGGTTATGATGTTCTAACCTACTTCAGCCTTGATCACCAGAAAGAATTTCGAGCGCCAGAAAAGAAGTACCAAAACTCCAGGGTTTTCACGTGTCGGGCCCTGGGAGGCACTCGTCCGACACTGTCTCGATACTGTTTCGACGCTCCCTCGACACTCCCTCGACACTTCTCCAGGTGCTCGAAACTATTTCTGGCCCTGCTTCCGCCGCGGGCGCCGGCGGGCGCGGCCACCGCCGTTTTCGCCGCTGGCCCCGCCGTTGGCCTCGCCGGCCCTGCCGCGGCCGCGGCCGCGGCCGCGGCCGCTTGTCGCGTTGCCCTGGGCGCGGCCGAGGCTGCGGCG